AAAGTTGAGACCAAAATAGCCAAATTTTTTTTGAGTGAAAAAACTGAAACTTTACCCAAATTTTGTTCATCGGCTCCAAAATTAAGGTTCATTTCCAGAAATATTGAAGAATACATGTACCGGTATAAGAATTAAAGTGATGACAAATTTTGGCCAGAAAGTCTGGAAGTGAAAAGGTTAACCATTAGAAAATTTTACTGGGATATTTTTGGAGATTTCAAGAGAAAAAATCTACAGAAACAAATATATTCATCAAACAAAACCCACACATATTTGATAGAGCAAAAAGGAAAGATGAATTACAGCAATATCATGTCTCAAAGATTTTCTAAATGCTTAGTATTCTGACTTTGTTATATCGTTTGTATTGCTACATTTTACAAGTAGCAGTAATCGTTACATTGTGCTCCATAGGGACTTTTTCATTAGATTGCTTTTTGCTTTGTAAAATAACTAAGTTCAGTCAAGTGAACAATCCTCACTCCTTGCTTTCAAGATTGGGAAACCCTTTAAAGACTGAGAAACCCCCTTGAACAGACAACTACCAACTAAAGTAGTTAATTTAAATGGCATTTACTTAAAAATAGTTAATGAATGTTGTCTGATTAGCAGCGTCTCATTTCACTTCTTCACCATAGCACAGTATTGCCATGCGACATACTGGATTAATTTGGACTCAGACTTCTACTCTGTAACATAGATGTCAAAGGTCAAAAGGTCAGACTGGGGTCGCACCACAATTAAACTGTCAATGGGCAAGCAAGTTTGTAAAAAAAAAAGGGAGTCTAGTCTTGTACCCAAGGTTCACAGCAGTTCAAAAGAAGTGAAAGAATATTTGGTCTATTACAAATCCAAATCCAAGTCCAAGTCCAATAGAGGCATGTGTAAACCTCAAAATTTTTTGTTCATTTTTTTAGCTGTAATTTTTACTTTCTAGTATATCAAACTTGCATTAAACATTTAGACTAACTTTTTATAAGAGATCATATACTATAAAATACTTTATTTTAGCTTGAATTAATTTTCACTGAAAAGACATTTTGGGTGTTTTATATGGAATTTATTTTCAATGATTTTTGACGAGTTGAATTTAAAATATAGGAAAAAAGATGTATTCGTTGGATTTTATTTTCAGTGAAAACATTCCAAGCAAAAATAGGAACTTGAAGTAATTGTGAATGCTACTAAGAGTATTTTGAGATTGGAACAATTCTATCGTTATATATCCCATAATTCAAACTGATTCAGTCACGCTGATTCTGGCAGTATTGATTCTAGCAGGTGTCCACCATTTTAAAACACAATTTATTTTTTTTTTCACTAAATCCTATTCAAAAACGGTTTATTCTGTTTATCTTGTATTATAAAACTTTTCAAACATATTTAAAAAGTAAAATAAATGTTTGGTTTCTGCTAAGGGTAACATATTTTTAGCCACTGTGGCAAATAATACTGTAAAATACTTTATTTTCGCTTGGAATTAATTTTAGAAATGATTGAAGGAATGATTCAGTGAAAATAAAATCCAGCGAATATACCTTTTTTCCCATATTTTACATTCAACTCGGCAAAAATCAGTGAAAATAAATTCCATACAAAACACCCAAAAAGTTGTTTTTTCAGCGAAAATTAATTCTAGCTAAAATGAAGTATTTCACAGTAATTCTATTATTAGTTGGTTACCAACCTGTATAGGTACTCTACTAACGTTGGAAATAATGTGTGTTCATGTTTAAGCAGAGGCCAAGAATTGTATACATTTTTACAGTAATTTTTAGTATACTTTATACCATTAGAATATGAAATCGTTTATGGATTGTGTGATAAATCTCAAGTCTCAAATGGAATTGACAAACTTTCGACATGTGTGCATGTGGGTTGTCAATGGCTTTCATTTGTATTTTATGTCAGCAATCTATTTGAACACTCAGGTATTTACTCTGTAAACAATTGAACAGGAGAAAGGGAATGAGAAAGTTAAACAAAAATCAAAGTAATTAATCTTTCTGATGATAAATAGCAGAGAAGTTAATGTTTCTTGTTCACTTATAACCCTGTTTGCAGGAAATCTAATCTATCCTTTAAACTTCCTATGAATTATCATCGGCAATTGAATAACCATGTCCAATTATTTGGCCCCTCCCATATACTTACATTCTTATTTAGTCTGATGTATAAAAAAAAAAAAAACTATGTTACGTGATGTATGTTCAATTGTCTTTATTATTTAGTATAATTGGGTCAATTTTAAAATTGTTTATACTTATTACTGGGTAATGTTGTAATTTGAAATGATGAAGCTCAGCATTGAAAGTAGATAAATAGATGTACATGCAAGTTATAATGGTGTACATGGCAGTTTATGTTAATTATTCTCCAGTTTAATTGCAAAAAAAATTGTTGGACTCAAGTCTGAGTAGCTATTGAATGCCAAGCCATGTTTGCAGCAATATTAATAGGGTTCTTCCAAGAGCATTGTAGAATAGGGGCCCTTCTACTCCTTCAATTTGGGTACATAGCAGAACTCAAAATCACTACAATGTATTAAATAGAAGTAATTTACATATTCTAGTGTTATGCAAATTAATCACAGGTTTCTCAGTAAAATTTGACAATCTGACAAACATTTCTATAATATTTAATACATTTTGTATTCAACTAGATATGATACATGTACAAGATATTTCTAAGATGAAATCACCTTATTTATCGGCAATCAAATTTACTTGGGGGTAAGATTGGTCATAATACTATAGTATTTTCCAGGGGAAAGCATTTCTATTTCATTATTATTTTCAATTAAATGTTGTCACAGACATTTGCTTGAGTAGATCTAATTGCAGGCATTGAAACTGACAAGTAAAAATGTGCGTGGCATGTGAACAAAAGACACAGCCCTGCACTTGCTTGTTGTTCATATCCAATCTCATTTTGGAATCAGCTGCCCACAATAGATGCAGAATCTACTAATGAATATAAAAAAGTTAAAAACAAATATGAAAGACCACAGTGATATGGCAGGCTTTACTATTCCATCTAAAATATTTACACTAGAGAGTATGAATCCTGGAGTTGAAAAAGCATGTACTATGAATAAAAATGAATTATTAGTCACTGAACAATGAACAAAGTAGTTTAGTGCATCATTTGCTATGTTGTGTGGCAGAAACTATGGTTACTGACTGGCTTTTGCTATCACAGAATCAAGCAGGTCATGTTATTAAGTTGAAATCAAGTAATCAAGTTAGATCAGTGTGACATAACGTACTGTAAAATTACTAATTTTCACTGGATTTAAATTTCGCTGATTTACCATTTCGGGCATATTTAGTGGGTTTTAAATTCACAGTTTTATCAATTAGATAATGTGTTCTATGCTAAATTTTACATATTCACTGGGTTTTAATTTAGTGCATTTTTCAGTCAGCGAAATAAACAAAATTAAAACCCAGTGAATAATAAACCTTATTACAGTACATTGTACCCGGTAATCACGTAGGTCACATTATTAGGGTAAAAGATATCCAGATGATGTAACATTAACCACGGTTACTAATAAAGACGGTTAGGAAACGCTATTGTTAAAAGGTGTGAATCTGCCTAATCCCTCAAGGATGCGTGTCGCGCTGTGTACGCCCTCTTGAGATTTCAAGGTCTACCATTTTGTTTAATTTTTGTGTCGATCACTTGATGTTCCGCGAATTTGAAATTTTAAGCTCGTTTTCGATAGAATATCCACGTTTAGTGCACAAGCTCTACAAAGAACTACACATACTTTTCGGATGAGTACTCTTTGTGACTGTGATAACATTCAGAATCGAGAATCGTCATTTATCGTTTTCACTGTCATGAAAGTAAGCTTGGGTCTCGGAATAAAAAGTAACGAAAATTCTAACCCCTAAGTCACTATTTTAAAATACATTATATTATAAAAAATACTACCAAATGAATTTTTAGTATACTACTGTGCGTACTTATGAAGGTTGTGTGCGATTTGGGGTCTGATTAGATTAAATTTTATCGTTTTGCATTCGCGTCACTTATCAGCCATTCTGTTTAAGGTCATAACACTTTTTTTGTAGACGCCGTAGAAATTGTTGAAAATGTATTCAACATTTTCCGCCAGTTTCATAAAATGCCTGTTTAATTGTTCTTGTCTGTCCTTGTTTCAGTTTTTTGTAAATTTTTCATGTTGCAATATTCAGCGTGCCGTTAATTATGAGTTTTAATACTCCACGCTACAATTTTTGAACTTTCTAGCAGTCTCTTCGCCAAATCAATTTTTCGGACCCTTTTTAATCGTTTTAATTTCATTGAACTGCCTGTTGTTGCACATTTGGTGTGCTTACATGCATTTTGTAGAGCATGGGCGGGTTATTTCAGTTATCTTATCGCATATTTTGTTTATTTCCAACAAAATGTATGTGGTATCATGGCTCCTCATTAAAACTTTCACATGGCTGAAATATAAACACTTGTATGGTTTCATTGACGTCTTTTTTTCTGATCATGTTTTGTTGGTTTTTTTATTTCAGTTTTCTGCCGATCTTGTTCTTTAGAAACGAAAATGCCATACAAGACAGGCAAATTTGTATTGAGTTTAAACCGAGCGACAGGTTTTGTCAGGATTCACTGGAACAACTTACACTTTAGTATTACTTAAAGTATCGACAGAGACACAATAAAATGGCGTGCAGTTGTTGATTGCAATGAACTCTGGGAAAATGACGTCATATTTGCGTGATTTCCTGTCTACATTTTATGTTAATGAGTTATCACAGATTAGTACGTCTTTTGTTTCAAATGTTTGCCCGCGACACGCATCCAATGAAAAGAACATGGTTTGTTTCCTAACCGTCTTTTTTAGTAACCGTGCATTAACCTTCATTCTTTGCCTCAATCTAGTAAATTAAAATCCATGTACAAACACAAAATGTCAGTGATGAAAAGCTAAAGAAAAACCATTCATGTTTTATTTTATTCTTTTTTTTCAAATGCAGATTCCTTCAATGATGGATGTACGTAAGGGTGGAACTCAACAGCGATTGGAACAGCAGCTGTCATCCCTTAACGTGACAGAGCCAGGGACGGTCACGGACACTAGTTACTCCTACTCTTACAATCCGCCGCAATTCCAGAGCCAGCCCAAGAAGTTTGCTCCAGTCACTGCCCCCAAGCCAAAAGGTCAGAAAAACGGGCGCATTACAAAATCCGTCCATCCACCACCTCCTGGGCCTGAATCATATTCCCAAATAACTGCAAGCATGTGCAGTCAGCCTAGTGCTATTACAGCAGTGACGCAGCATGGCAGCCAAGGTAGTAACTAGATAATTCACCGTTTAATCATTTAGTGCTATAGTGTTGCTTTCACTTGTGTGGATTTATCTTAACATTACCAGCATGTTTCATCTCTCATTTCTTATCTTTCTTGAGAGCCATTGCAAAGCAAAATCTTGTTTAATAATAATAATAATAATAATAGACTTCAATGCAAAATGGGTGAATTTTTACAGTAAACAAGAATTGTTTTTGATGTGGCTGCATCTTTTTTTTTTTCATCTGGAACTTTGTCTTGCTATTAATTTTTTCAGCGCCATTATCAACTTTTGGCGCCAGCAGCAGAATGATTGTGTACAGTCTGCTCATATCGTATACACATGAATGTTGATGAGAATTCACTAGAATACTGCAGTAATTCTAACTGTCCGTATGGATCAAAATGATGATGCAATTTGGTGACAATTTCACAAAATGTGAAAATATTTGCAATCCAGTTTGGGCAGGAAAAATATCTGGCACTCAAGGAGTTAAAGTCGTGCAATACTGTATACCTTTTTCTTTTTTTTCTTTAAATGTCTTTTCTGCTGAATTATGTACATGTAACCATGGTGACAGAGAACACGATGACAAGAGGAAATGGAACACTATTTTCTTACTCTCAGTCTCTTGGCCATGTTTGTCTATAATTTTATCAGTTTACAAAAGGTGACTAATGTTACCAAGACGATCGCAAAAATGATTGGAACGAGATAATCATTTACCGCAATACATTCTTATGGAAATTAATTGCGTGATCTGTCAGTATATAAGTTCCAGATGAAATATATTTATAAAAAATTGTTGAAGAAATTTTCTGCGTCGGTTGCAACATTTAGGTTGAAGTGAGCTTTGGCCTGATGTCCTCAGTGTGGACCTCGCTTGCCTGAACTCTAATACCTAGTGTGAATCTACCTACTCTTTTGCATAATGAAATGCTAACTTCGCTATTTAAACCCAATAACACTTCCACTGCTTAAAAATTGCTTGTAATGTGCGAGTCCACCTAATTACATGTATACAAGTTCAAAACCACCACAGGTAATAAATTATCAACATTCATAAACATGTAAATTTTTTACTATAAAATAACTATTATTTGTTTATGTTGAAATCTTTTTAAAAAGGTTGTCACATCTCTTTTCTTCATCTGTCACATCCCACCAATTCTTGTACATGTATCATGTTCAATTAAATAGTATCAATGTGCATTTGACCCCCTAACTGTACATTTGTGTATGGCCACCTAACTGTATTAAATTGTGTGACCACCTAACTATAATAAATTGTGTGTGACCACCTAGCTATATTGAATTGTGTGTGACCACCTAGCTGTATTGAATTGTGTGTGACCACCTAACTGTATTAAATTGTTTGTGACCACCTAACTGTATTAAATTGTGTGTGACCACCTAGCTATATTAAATTGTGTGTGACCACCTAACTATATTAAATTGTGTGTGACCACCTAACTGTATTAAATTGTGTGTGACCACCTAACTGTATTAAATTGTGTGTGACCACCTAACTGTATTAAATTGTGTGTGACCACCTAACTGTATTAAATTGTGTGTGACCACCTAATTGTATTGAATTGTGTTGTGACCACCAGACTATATTAAATTGTGTGTGACCATCTAACTGTATTGTGTTTTGATCACCTGTTTTAAATTGTTCGTGACTACATAACTGTATAAAATTTTGTGTGACCATTTAATTGTATTAAATTGTGTGTAACCACCTAACTGTATTCAAATGTATTGTGACCACCTAACTGTATAGAATTTTGTGTGACCACCTAACTGTATTAAATTGTGTGACCACCAGCCTATAGTAAATTGTGTGTGACCACCTAACTGTATTAAATTGTGTGTGACCACCTAACTGTATTAAATTGTGTGTGACCACCTAACTGTATTAAATTGTGACCACCAGCCTATATTAAATTGTGTGTGACCACCTAACTGTATTAAACTGTGTGACCACCAGCCTATATTAAATTGTGTGTGACCACCTAACTGTATTAAATTGTGTGTGACCACCTAACTGTATTAAATTGTGTTGTGACCACCAGCCTATATTAAATTGTGTGTGACCACCTAACTGTATTCAACTGTGTGACCACCAGCCTATATTAAATCGTGTGACCACCTAACTGTATTAAATTGTGTGTGACCACCTAACTGTATTAAATTGTGTTGTGACCATCTAGCTATATTAAATTGTGTGTGACCACCTAACTGTATTAAACTGTGTGACCACCTAACTGTATTAAATTGTGTGTGACCACCTAACTGTATTAAATTGTGTGTGACCACCTAACTGTATTGAATTTTGTGTGACCACCGAACTGAATTAAAAAGTGTGTGACCACCTAGCCATGCATAGTTTATGTAAGACAACCTAATCTTGCCGAGTTTGTAAGACCACTTAAGATTGCAGTTTATGTAAGACCACCTAAGATTGCAGTTTATGTAAGACCACCTAAGATTGCAGTTTATGTAAGACCACTTAAACTTGCCTAGTTTGTAAGACCACCTAAGATTGCATAATTTCTGTAAGACCACCTTAGATTGCATAATTTCTGTAAGACTACCTAAGATTGCATAATTTCTATAAGACCACCTGA